CAGACATGAATAATAACGGAAATTTTAGATATTTTGGTAATAACAAAAAATAAATCGAACATTTATGTAATTTTTCCTATTTTATATAAGTGATTTCATGCAACATTTTCAAAGTAATATAATGAAACCCCTTCAAAATAATATTATTCTTTAAGTACTTTCATGCAACACTTTAAATTTATACTTTTATATCTTGATACACAATAGAGAAAAAAAATGCACCTAATTCTTTTTAACACAATGGACGTAGACCATCCATTTGAAATGGGTGGTATGATCAAGGCCTTAATGAGGCTCTTCTATTTTTCTATTTTCCCACCCTGAACTTTGTTGATGGCCTTATCAGCGTCAAATGCACACTTTAAAAGATAAAAAATTAATTTTTGAATTCTTAAAAATATTAAAGGCTTGGATTTTAACATCCAACCCTTGAAAGGCTGATATTTGGAGCAGACTTGTTTCGACTTTTTATAGGGTGCAAATTCAATTTGTTTTCTTTGGAATTGGTTGCAATGGTGACCGGGCCCAACCCCGATCCCCATAGGGAGGGACCAAATACAAAATGAAAAAAAATGAAAGAAAAAAGTTAGGGCCGGTACAAAGCCCAGCCGAACTGGGCCAGCACTAGCCCTAGCTTAGCCTCAGGCCATAGTTTGTGGTCCAGACTAACTTTTTTAGGGTGGGCAAGGCCACACGGCCCATTGCCAGTCGTGCCCTCTAGATTTTATCATAACATGTAATTATAGTGTAAAAAATTCGTATGCCAACTGCACCCTAAAGGAAAACATTTATATAAGGACGCAACCTTATAATGTAGAACTATAGATGCACCTTAAAAATCCATCGGAAAAGGTAATTTTAATGTTAAAAAACCCTTTGATTGATCATCTCGACATCGAGATGTATAACCATGAAAAATAAAAAGATATATATTAGAAATAGTGCATTTTACAATATTTCATCTACACAGGCCATTTTCAAAATTTTCATATGTTTTATAGATCTACTTGATTTTAACCATTTTTGAAATAATTAGATATAAAAACAAATTTTGCGATAATCCAAAGAACATTTACATCAAAATTATATACCATAATAAAATTTGAAGGTGAATCTTGCCTCTACAAGCATCCGTATGCCGCCCTCATCAAAAAATCTATTTTTATCTCTGATTATAAAATTTTAAACTCCGAAAATAAGTTAAAATCAAGTACATCTATGAAAATACTTGAAAATGGAAGTTATTGTTAATGTTGTTGTTGCTGTTATTATTATTATTTGTTATGCAAGCAAGAGATGATAATGGAAGGCGTGATTATTGATGTTAATGGCTGAATAAATTGATGTAGTCAATTAGATGTTTTGAATGCATAAACGAAGAAATCATAGTCAATTAGATGCTTTGAATGCATAAATGAAGAAATCATAGTCAATTAGATGCTTTGAATGCATAAATGAATAAATCAAATTACTCTTGGGGAAATTAGGACAACTTGTATACAGTTAAGTAATGTGAATAATGTGATTAATTTTTTAAATAATTGAGGATTTGATTATAACTCATGTTAATGACTTGCTAAATCAAATTAGTCAATTTCGTGTTAATGGCTTGCTAAATCGAATAATCAATCAAATGCTTTGAATGCATAAACCAATAAATCAATTTATTTTTTGGGAAATTATGAAAATATGTGTATAATTGAGTAATGAATAATGTGTAATTCGTCACTTAGAACTTCTTAGACGTTCACGCATGTTATCAAACATGTAATTAGAACTTCTTAAACATTCCAATATGTTAATTAAATGGATTGACGGGCGTACTCGCCAAGGTGAAAGCAACCCAACCCAATTCAGTAACCAACCAAATAAAGCCCCCAAAAAAAAACAATAATAACCACCACAAACATAGGAAACACACAAACCACTAGTACTCCTTATGCATCATCATAACACCAGTTCCAAGTTCCAACAAATGCTGAACCAGAGGACAGCTAAAACCACACACACAAGCAGAATGAAACCCAAGATATTACCATAGAGAGACACAGGTCCCTTAATCACTCAATCACTTGGACAAAACAAGAACAGCCAAAACAAGAATACCGCAAAATGGGAGAGACGAGACTATGAAGTACCTATCATATCTCATACTCAATACTCATCCCCCTCATCTCCATCCTCGCCCTCGGCTGACTCGGCACCCACCTCTTCATAATCCTTCTCAAGTGCTGCCAGATCCTCCCTCGCCTCAGAGAACTCACCCTCTTCCATTCCCTCACCCACATACCAATGCACAAAAGCCCTCTTTGCATACATGAGATCAAACTTGTGGTCGATTCTGGAAAACACCTCAGCCACACTTGTGGAGTTGGAGATCATGCACACTGCTCTCTGAACCTTGGCCAAATCACCTCCAGGAACAACAGTGGGAGGCTGGTAATTGATACCACACTTGAAACCAGTCGGGCACCAATCAACGAATTGAATGGTCCTCTTTGTTTTGATGGTAGCAACAGCTGCATTGACGTCTTTGGGAACGACATCACCTCGATACATGAGGCAGCAGGCCATGTATTTGCCATGGCGTGGGTCACACTTGGCCATCATAGAGGAAGGCTCAAATGCACTGTTAGTGATCTCAGCCACAGAGAGCTGTTCGTGGTATGCCTTCTCAGCAGAGATTACTGGGGCATAAGACGACAACATGAAATGGATGCGAGGGTAGGGAACCAGGTTGGTCTGGAACTCAGTCACATCCACGTTCAGGGCTCCATCGAATCGGAGGGATGCAGTAAGGGATGAAATGACCTGTAATTACAAACCATAATAATCAGTAAGTTCCCAGAATTTTTTTATAAAACTGCAAAAAGTGTCATGGTATATCTGCCATATAAACGAACAGAACAGACCTCAGTAAGTTTGGTCAATCAAAACTCGAGCATATGATTTAATGCCTAAAATAGTAAATGCTTCTAACGTAAGTTCTTAAACATCAGTGAACATATATCAGTGGAGACATTGGGTGCGTTACAAAATTCACATGTGGGAAAACCCGGCCACAGTGTGCAATTGTATGAACCAACTTTTTGATTTAGGGAAAATATCAACAGTAAAGATCACCTACCTAAACAGTAAATCAGAAATTACCATATCGTATTGAAACAGGATATTTTACACCTGGTAAAGTAAACTTATGTTTACCTGAGAGACAAGGCGGTTAAGGTTGGTGTAGGTAGGACGCTCGATATCAAGGGAGCGCCGGCAAATGTCATAAATAGCCTCATTGTCCAGGAGCACAGCAACATCAGTGTGCTCCAAGAGGGAGTGGGTAGAGAGCACACTGTTGTAAGGCTCCACAACAGATGTGGAGACCTGAGGTGAAGGATAGACAGTGAAGCCGAGCTTTGACTTCTTGCCATAGTCCACAGAGAGGCGTTCAAGGAGAAGAGAGCCAAGACCAGAACCAGTACCACCTCCAACAGCATTGAACACCAGGAAGCCCTGGAGACCAGTGCAGTTGTCAGCTAGCTTGCGGATGCGATCAAGACAGAGATCCACAATCTCTTTACCAACTGCAAAATCAAAAGACATCTATAAAGACTAGGAAGCAAAATAGTCAAGTATGCACATGGAGAATGAGAATGATAGTAAAAGGAAAATTGTATAATGAATCACAATATAATCTCTTAATATCAGAATTAGATAATTAACCAAGATTCTCAAGCATAAATCCATTAAGTCTGGAATATAGATAATATTGAATCCAAAATAAGAATATTATTATATTTCAAAGTATAAAGGCAACAAGCACCTTGGAAAGAGTATGGTGTAAAGACATACCAAAAGATAAGCCAAAAAACAAGCTAGAGAAAGAGAGAGAGATAAAAATAGTTAGAGTGAGAGATGTAAAGTCAATTAGATCAAATCAGAGGTTCTCAATCTAATTAACATTCGCAATAAACTGTTTCCTAATATCGATTGGGAGTACAAAGGCTATATAGTTGGTGATGTGAGCAAGTTTGGGCTTACTTGTGTAGTGGCCACGAGCAAAGTTGTTGGCAGCATCCTCTTTGCCACTGATGAGTTGTTCAGGGTGGAAGAGCTGGCGATAAGTTCCAGTCCTCACTTCATCAATGACTGTAGGTTCTAGATCTACAAACACAGCACGAGGGACATGCTTTCCAGCACCAGTCTCACTGAAGAATGTGTTGAAAGCATCATCTCCTCCTCCAACGGTCTTGTCACTTGGCATCTGACCATCAGGCTGAAGCAAACAGAGAAAAAAAAAATCAATTCCTCAATCCATAATAAATAGATCACAATAAGAGCTTTACACAGGACGGTAACAAAAATGAAACAATATTTAAAATTTCTCTAGCTCCATTGGAGCAGTAACAAAATTGAAATAGTATTTAACATAGGAATGGCATCAAAACGGAAGATAGCAGCATTTATACACAGATTGGACATAACACCTTTGAAACTGTAAATGAAGGACTCCCAATGGAAAACAGAAGAAAGGATAGATGGCTATAACTTCCATAATCAAAATCATCATCAGAAGATGAAGAGAAATGTTATTACATTCAATTCAAAGAGATCCATTGCATACTAGAAAATGTTGATGGATCTGAAGATAAAATGATACAAAAAACACAAAACAGCAAGCATTTTACAGGAATCTGTAAATGAGAAAAATAAAAGTCCAGATCTGTACAAGTATGAGACAAAAACCAAAGAAAAGCAGCAATGCATAAACAGATCACCTTGATTCACAAAATGAAACACTAGATCTGATCAAATACCATGTAATTCAATGGAAATTGTCCAAGAAACTAGCAGATAATAAGAAGACTCAAGAACACCCCTTGATCTGGACATGACATACACAATTGCGCCCATAATGAGCAGATCCAACATCAAATGTTCAAAATTTTCACAAACATGGGACGCATAAACAAAACCTAGATCTCGACATGAGAATACAAAAAAAAAGCCAAAATAAAGCAAAACGAAAACTTTGAAAGAGTTTCAGAAGATTACCTGGATGCCATGCTCAAGGCAGTAAAGTTCCCAACATGCATTGCCAACCTGAATACCGGCCTGGCCAATGTGAATGGAGATGCACTCTCTCATCTTGAAAAGAGAGTTAGAAAGCGAGTTTAGAGAGAGAAGAGGGTAGAGAGAGAAAATGCAGAAATGGGAAGGAAAGGTAGGCGTTAGCAAAGACGCCTCCAACCAGATCCCGCTCAATGGTCAGACTCAAAACCTAAACCACTATTTTTATAGCCAAAAGTTGGGGACTCTAACCATGGTCAGTTAGTTAACCATGGTTGCCAGCTATGAGTAGGTGGGTTAAGGCGGGCCGGCACGCTACATGCGTACAATACACTATATATCACAGCACAGTGTATTTTGAACCGTCGATCAGGAAGATGAAGGGAAAAATACCCAATGGTGTATCACTGTGTATTGTTCGACATTTGTGCTACCTGTTTTTTTTGAATTGTTTTTAAAAGAATTGTTTGAAAATATCTGGTTCTGACGATTGGGACGCTCCACCCAATCGTGACTTTTATGGCAAGAAAGATAAAAATGCTTATTTGACAAAGAGTAGTCATTTCATGCATTGGTGTCTTTATTTTACTGTTTTACTCGTAAGAATCTTGACACGTGTGTAACGCGAGGTGCAACCCTTTAGGACCCTACTTAGCAACTCCATATTTAAAACATCGATTTTTTTTTTAGAGCGAAAGTATATAAAGAGATATTACGTGGTTACGATTACATGCGAATTTGTGTCTTGCATTTATTTCATTGGCCAACCTCGAAGTTGAAAAAACAAAAAATTGAACTTTTTGATACACCTAAACTATCATAGTTCACATTAGATGGAGGTAAGTAATCGTGACATCTCTATATCAAAAATAAATAGTATTATTGTATACAATTCATTTTTTCCAAATATATTGGATTTTTTGAAATCCGTTAAGGACTCCAAGTTTTTCAAAATATTTTTAAAAAATTATATTTTTTTAATACAATATATAAATTTATATTTTATTTTATTTTCAAAAATCTTTTTTTTTTAAAAAAAATTTCACTATAATTTATTTATTCATAAATTTAATATTATTACATTTGATTTAAAGATAAGCACATTAACCATGAGAGTAAATTAAAAAGTTTGATTTAATAAAAAAATTTACTAATAAGTACTAATAAAAAAATGAAAAAATATCTCTATACTCTCCATTTTTAAGTTTTATATCTCAAGGTTTCAAAACATATATTGAGCTATAAAAATGGTGAGTTTTATATCTTTTAACCCCTTAAGCTAATTTTATTTCTTTTAAACTTATTTTTTTTACCCTAAACAAATATAGAAAAGACATATCTTTTTTAAACATCATTTTTCTCTCTTCACGTGATTTTCTTTAAATCTTTGTTTACCTATTTTCCCACTCTCTCTCTTCGTGTGTGTCTCCACCGTTTGAGAGACAAAGGGTGAATGTTAGAGAAAGAGAAATTTGGGAGAATATATCACCTAAAAGAGAAAGAGTTTAGAATGAACATGTCTTTTTTATATTTGCTCGGGCTAAAAAAATAGTTAAAAGTGGATAAAATTAATCAGAGGTTCGGAGATATATTTTGAATCTTTGAGTCTATTGAGATATGAAAACAAAAAATAAGATGTACGATAATATTTCCCCTAAAAAAATTATACAGGAAGAAAAAAGCCAATATATTCCCCAAAAAAATTAGATGTCAAAATAATAGATAGAGCTAGATGAAGAGTAACTCAATGACATAAATTTTTTTTCTTTAAATCTAAAGTGTCCTTATAAAGAGCTAGAGAGAGGTTCAATGTTGCTAAATATTTTGGCGGCTTGGATGAACCACTATTTCACATATGTGGGTCTTTGTATTTTGTTTTAGTTAATTGCAATCCCATACTGACTTTATTTTTTTATTTTAACAATAATCTTATGTTTTAGTTTATAGTTCCTGTTTTTTACTAATGTAGTCGTTGTGGTTATGATTCTTCATGTTATTTCATTTTATGCTCACAATAAATGAATGATGTATTTTGTGTCCTCACAATAAAGTAAGCATTGCTATTGGATTTATTTGCTACTCTAATGATACTAGATAAGGCTATAAATTTATTATTTAATAGCTTTAATGTATCTATTCAATAGGTACAAATTATAATCCTATAGTATGCCATCTTCACATATTCGATTTTTTCACTCTGTTTTTTTAGCCAAATCCAAAATATTTACAATTCTATAACTTATCTTATTTTTTGGCGATTCGTATTTTTTACCCCATTTTTTACTCTAACCTTTTAAAATAAAATCGTTTCATTACTGATGTTTTAATTCGTCGATATGTTATTAGTCCCCGACTTGCTAACTATAATTAGGATAGTATAACAAGGCATTATGAATAACCTTGTTGTCCTCAGCATCATCGACGTTTTTTTTTCAACTATTTGAAGTTAGCTACAAAAATCCTTCACAACTATTTGAAGTCAACTACACAATTCCTAGTCCCTCATTATAGTCTATTACGGGTCATACCCTCAATAAAGTCATAAATTGTCATATTTTTTCTCACTACTTCCAACCATATCGTTTTGGGCCTACTTGAACCAACTCACACCTCCTATTGTAATGGGTTTGCGTTGGACATGATTATCCCATTAAGTTTACATAATCTCATCTTATCACCTATTGGAGCCACACTTAAGTTCTCCCGAATGTATATTTAACCCCATGATACGAATAGTAAATGCATCAACAACCCTCCGATGTAGATAATTGATGGTTGAATTGTACCTTAACTTTGCTTTATAATATGGAGTTTAGGGGAGGAGCCGTACATCACAAACGAAGATTGTTCACAACTAATGATGGAGGATGCATTACCATTTATGTTTATATGTTGAATGGCATTCTTTTTTATTTTTGTAGTTAAGTGGGAATGGAATACCGTATTTATTATAAAAATGGAATTCAATATGTCATATTGTGACGACTCAACATACTCAACACCTGAGCCCATTCCTAAATGACATCCATAGCTGGACGGTAAACATTAATGTCCAAGTGATTATGCTTTTTTTTCTTATCCAATTAACAAAACCGAGTGATTCATGTGTATATGTTGTTTGTTCATGCAACTTTACCATCTGTTGAACCCTTCTAGTAATGGGTAATGTTTCTATGGAACCCCACCCACATATATAGCATATGTAACGCATGATTTCAGCCGATAGATTTAGGTAGATGGCTGAGATGGCTTGAGTTACAATATCACAAGCTAGCTTTTAACCGTTAGATCTTGATCGGATGGCTCAAAGTTTGTATTTTTAATTTTTATTTTATATATAATTTTAAGCCAAAATTTGGGGTATGGATAGATCTGACAAGGGTGCACATGATAAAATAAAATTTAAAAAAAAAAAAAAAATTTCGATGACAGACAATTACCAGGATTCCCCTAAAAATTGTAGACGCATTTTGGTCATTTATTTTTCCAAGTTTCGCCCTACTTTTGTAGTGGGACGCCCAAAATTTCATTCAAAAAGGTTTTGTAGAAAAAAATGAAAAATAAAATCGTGTTTGGCGTGACATTGTGGTGTGAACAATCATAACCGTTTGATTCAGATCGAACGGCTGAGAAATAGGGCCCCATATAACTTCAATGTTGATGGAGTCACATAGAAAGTCCCCGTTTTAGTGATTGGGTTAGAAGTAAGGACATGACTTCTATGCGGCTAGCCCGCTTATTGTAGAAATGCGGGATTGGCAATAAATATATTTTTAAAATATAATTTAATCCTATTTTAAGATAATGTTGTAGAAATGCGGTCCAACCCGCATGAAACAATTTTTCTAAAAGTAATTTCATATTATTTGGAGTAATTTGGAATGTATTTTTTTACATAATCCTGAATCCTAAGCAATACAGAAAGGAAAAGGCATTTTCTATCGTGGATCGTAACAAAGTAATTAAACGTCAAGAGATGGGTGAAGTTTATTGTCAAGACGACGCATGAGGAATAAGATGTATCCATCAACAACGACCCATGATTTTTTTTCACATGATTTTGGAGTTTATGAATTGGCATTAAGCTTTAGAAACAGTACGTTAAAATTATCTGTCAACAACTCAACAACGAGATATGGGATTTTATTATGAACAATTGTTTCATGCGGGCTCTTACTAAAAAACATTGTTTCATGCGGGCTGGAAGTACAGTACGCGGTCCAGAGGTATAAAACATCCATCATAAAATTTGATGCAAATAGGTGGTCCATCTAAAAACAATTGTAACTAACGGCCCGAATATTTTTTAATATAATTATTATTTTTAGTTTTTAAATTTTATTAATTTTTTCATATTCATTATCTCCATGTTAAAGATTACATATTCTCTAAAAATTCGGATCAAATTATATTTAAAAAATATTTTTATTGCCAAGCCCGCATTTGTACATGTGCGGGCTTGGTCGCATGCTAACCGCGTCCTCTAATTATTTCTCTTAAGTCCGGAAATTGAGCGGATTTCATTCATTTCTACTGTCCATTGAGTGGTGCTTGCATGGTCATATATCCTAATTTTTTACTCCGGTTGGCAATGGACCCGAGACCCAAGAACCGATGGATAGATCCGATCTAGGTCCGGGAATGGGTCCAAAAATTGGACCCAACGGGTTAGGTCTGGGTCATAATCTTAGACTCGAATACTATTCGGGTCTGGGTCTAGATCCGGCTGGACCGACCCTTTGCCATCCCAGATTGCCCTAAAAAGACAATGGAACTTGTTGATAAAGGTCCAATTTGGAATTTTACTTCTAGAGTGCACTTTCAAATTTTACTTCTAGAGTGCACTTTCAAATTTTTCTTTTAGGTTGGTCTTTAC